ATCAAACCAAAAATATTGACGTGGTTTTATTTTTTTGAGAATAACGTTTGTGGTTTTACTATGAGCAGAATTAGGAGGCGCGTTTGAGGAAATTATCGAGTGCGGCGAGGCTGTAAATGAAGATGATGGAGCCAAAAAAAGAAAGTACTAATAATAAATGCTCTGTAAAGTACTAATAATAAATACTCTGTAAAGTACTAATAATAAATACTCTGTAGCTGTAAAGGATTTTTCTTTCTTTTTTTGTGATCTAAAAGAAGCGAAGCAATGTGGCTTTAAAGCCTACAGCTATTGGTAGTTGGGTATCAGATCTATTATTCGTAGTACTGTAAATGAATCGAACATTCAGCGAATCGTTTAGTAGGAAATTTATTTATCTTTATTTATTAAACAAACGAACATGAACATAATTTTGTGTTTGTTTAATTAAATGAACGAAAACGAATATAGTGCTCGTTCGTTCATTTACGTTCGTGAACGTTCGGTAATATATTTGTTTATGTGCGTTCATTTATGTTCATTTATCTGCGTTCATTTATGTTCATTTATGTGCGTTCATTTATGGTTAGTTCAATCTCTCTAGACTCATTTAAAATGTTAAAGCCCAAATAAATTTTAATATAATACTCATAAATATTTTAAAATTCAATTAATTTTAAATACAAATAAAAACCCTAAAATAATTAAATATAACATAATCCTAAAATTATTATGAAAGAAAAAAATATTTTCATTTATGTTAGTTTATATTCGTTTACGTTCGTTCGTTTATGTTCATTTACATCCGTTCATTTATGTTCATTCATTTGTGTTCGTTTATCATTTAAATGAACGAACACAAACAAGCTACATTCCTTAACGAACGAACACAAACAAGAAATTTTTTGTTCGTTTATGTTCGTGTTCGTTTATGTTCGTGTTCGTTCATTTGTTCAGTTAAAGTTAAACGAACTAACACGAATATACCCCCGTTCGTGTTCGTTCGATTCGTTTACAGGCCTAATTAATCGACTAATCTAATTGATTGTTGATTTTTTAATAATTTATAACTTAAGAGGAGTGGAAGAGAAATTTTATTTATAATAAATATTGAGCCCACAATTTAAAAGAAAACAAAAGTGTCATCCGAAAGTTTTTAACTATCTAGTTTAGAGATTCTTAAGTAATTAAGACCAAAGATCGATCATTTACATAAATGTTCATTAAAATAGTCACTCCAAAGCAGTTGGGTACATGTCCAAATTACACCACAAAATAAAATTGTTGAAATAAGACAATGGCAAAATATAAGTGACTTCCGTGGTAGTATACCCAATAAATTTTGGAAAAGAAAGCAATACTAAAATTATCCAAAAATTGATTCTTTTAGGTTAACCTTTTCAACACCTTACATATAACTTTTTCTATATTCGATCCAATTTATCATTTTTGTTTTATCGTACTTTCGTATCATTTAGTTTTTAAAGTTGTTATGTTGCATCATTTTATATTATACCCCTAATTTAAAACCTTAAATTAAAGGTTTTGAGAATTTAAAATCTAACGATTGTAATTTGTAGTTTAGGATATAATTTGAGAATTTAGGGTTTGAATCTAAAATTTAAGTATATAATTTAAAAATTTTAAACTTATTTTTTTAATTTTAATCATATTTGGTATTAAAATATTAATAAAATATGACACAACATATGAAACAAAAAATAAAATAATTCATGTCAGTGTTGAGTGATAAAAAAAATTTAATCTATAAAGATTAATGAGTAAATTAAAAAAATTAAAAATATTATGAGTGAAATAAGAGAGAGTAAAATTTAATGATGAATGGTGTAGTTTATCCTATTAAGAAAAAGCTTGTTTACCCTTCTAGAAAACCGGTAGTAACATTCTACCAAGCTATTCAAAAAGTTTCATCGATAAACAAAAACAAAGTTGAATCATACTGCCGACATTAATGGAGCTACAATTATTCGATCCATTCCTATAAATGGACCTACTTGATAATTTCCCCAACTTATTATTTCACCTTCCTTTCTTTCATACAAAGTCCCCCAAGCTTACTCCAATGGTGGGTGCTGAACCAAAGTTGATGGAAAATGGGGAGGGAAAACCTTTGTCCGTGGACGATTTGATTCGTTTCATTCGATCAGTGGTCATTTCGAATGAAAAACAAGAAGAAGCAAGCCCATTTTACGTGCTGGATTTGGGTGCTGTCAGGTCCTTGGTCCACACATGGTTCCATAATCTTCCCCTGGTTCAACCTTTCTACGCTGTTAAATGCAACCCTGACCCTGTTTTCCTCAAAGAAATGGCGGATCTCGGCACCGGTTTCGACTGCGCGAGCAGTGCCGAGATCGAAACCGTTCTGTCTCTCGGGGTTTCGCCTGATCGGATCGTGTTTGCAAACCCATGTAAACCGGTGTCTCACATCAAGTACGCAGCTAAAGTTGGTGTTAACTTGACCACTTTCGACTCGAACTGCGAGCTTGAAAGATCAGAAAATGGCACCCCAAGTGTGCGCTGTTGATCCGAGTCAAAGTCCCGGAAACCAGCGGCGCCACGTTCCAGTTCGGTTCCAAATTCGGTGCACTCCCCGCTGAAATCATCCCGCTTCTAAGAGCATCACAAGAAGCCAAGCTCCAAGTTATCGGTGTCTCGTTTCATATAGGTATGAATAGTGCAAATGTCTTTTTATATGTATATATGGTTAATATATTTAAAATTATCTTTTTTAAATATGTAATTCTGTGACATCAAAATATTTTCTAAATTTTAAATTTTAATAGTTAATATTATACGGGAGAAACTCGTCCCGTGAAGAAATTGATCATAAAACTGGAAAAATCTTTCTTGATGGGAGCTTATACAAATATTTGAGAAACATAGGACATATATGGGGATGGGGATGGGGATGGGGATGGGGATGGGGATGGGGATGGGGATGGGGATGGGGATGGGGATGGGGATGGGGATGGGGATGGGATCGGTTTTTTGGCTAATCCGATTCGACTCGAGTTTAAGATGACTTCATCGACCCGAAACCTAATCCGACTTTTGAGATAAAATTTGACTTTAAACTGACCCGAAATTGAATAAAATTATTAATTTTATTCAATAAAATAAAGATTTAATTGAAAATTAACAATATTATAATTATCTCTAAAAATATATTGTATAATTATATTATTTTTTGGGTCGGATTGAGTCGAAACTCGTCATGTTCGAATTTCGTGCCCATCCCTAGACATACATGCCAAGCGGATGGATTGATGTCCATGGACTCTTCCATCTTCAGTTGTAAAATATTTTCTGCAGAAGAGATGAATGAATTTTAGAGATGATGAAACTCAAATAAATTAAATTAGGTTTTATGGATTGGATTTTCTTTATTTAAAGTTGAAGAGGTTTTTGGTCAACAAGCAGTCAACGTTATCAAATAAGCTTTCTTCACCCAAGTTAATGGTTGTTAGTGACCGATTTGTTACAAAACGATAATATTAATGATCAATTTGTTATAAATCGATAATATTTTTGACCAATTAGTTAGTTTTGTAACTTTAGTGGAAGAAATGAAAAATTTCTCAAAGATTAGTGACCAATTGTGTAGTTTATTCCTATTACAATTTAGAAGGGAATTAATTGGTGTCTGGTTTCGTACAGGGAGCAGAGCGATTAACTTCAACGCATTCGAAGACGCCATTGAAGTTGCTAAAACAGCATTCAACACAGCAGCTAAACTCGGTTTGCCTAATCTGCGTATCCTAGACATTGGCGGTGGCTTCACATCGGGTCCGCAATTTACTGAAGCAGCCTCCGCCTTGAAACTTGCTTTACAAAAACATTTTCCCGTCGGAGTAGCTGAAGGCTTAAAAATCATGGCGGAACCCGGTCGTTTCTTTTCTAATTCATCGTTTACATTGGCGACGAGCATAATAGGGAAACGGGTTAGGGATGGGATCAAAGAGTATTGGATCGACGACGGCGTTTCGGGGTCTATGAACTTCTTGAAGTACGATCATGATGAAGTGGTTTGCACTCCTCTGATCACCGGCAAGAACAGCAGAAGGAAAGAGATGAAAACATGGAATTCAACAGTTTTTGGACCGACATGCGATGCGGAGGATATAGTTTTGAAGGATTTCGAATTGCCGGAGCTGGAGGTTGATGATAAGCTGGTGTTTCATAACATGGGAGCTTATACTTCATCTTGTGGCAACGATTTCAATGGCTTTAAAACCTCAGCCATTCCAACTTATATCGCCAATCAAAAATAATTTTTTAAAAAATCTTCGCATATCATAATAATAAACGTTTACGATAAAATTTGATTTTAAAATCGTTTAAGTTCTATTTTGTGAATTAACTCTTTATTTTTCCAAACTCATCTTGAAATATTATATCATTAAGTGTTGTTGTCAAATCAATACTTAAAAGTAACGACGATATTGATAAACACTATTAAAATATGATTTTATCCTATTTCAATTCATAGATTAATATCTAACACAAAAGCCAATTAATTTTTTAATAATCGAAGGATTCAACAAAACGACATCCTATAATCAAGGAATAGTTTTTACAACTTTTAATAATCGGGAATTCAATAAAATAATATCCTATACTCAAGAGATTATTTATACACTTTTAATTTTGAACTTTAAATCATAAATAAAACGTATAATAATATTACATTTCATTTATAAATACCTTTTATATTATTAATGTATAAAATAATAATTCATAATAATATTTTTCTATTATAGTTTTGATTTAACAGAAAAGATGACATAACATAATTTAATATAATAATAATTGTAATTTTTAAAATTTATACACATCATTTTATCTTAATTTAAAATAATTTAATAAAAAAACTCTTAATCTTTACAAACTTTATTACTTTCATTCCTGATCCTCTTAAAATATACACTAAAATGAAATAATTGAAAAATCAATGCTGAATTTTCATTTTAACAAGATTTTCTTGTATGCCAAAAAATGTATAATACAAAAATAAATCTGTATTATCCTCTCAAAAGAACGAATCCTCCCCCTGTTTTTAAGTACAAAATGTTCATCAATTCTATCTACAATCAACATATCAATGAAACCTCCTCCCACCAATACAAATCAAAGAATATATATATATATATAGGGATGTATGTATACTGTCAACCTCCAAACATATTCTACAAATTGTCAAATCCTACTCCTGCTGTGTTACATCAGATACGTGTGTGACAATCAATGAGAAGCTTTGAGACAGTACCTCTTCCGACCCCTCGATCAAATTCCGATATCTGCACGGGTTTTGATCGGTTTAAGCTTGATCCCTAGACCCTCGGGGGAGAGAAGTTCGGGAGCTATGCACGACTGACTTGATGGACTCGAAGGGTTCGAACCATTGCTTGACGAGGAAGCAAAATGTGGTTGTCTTTGGAAACCGAATCCCAGTAGAAAGAATTCAATAGGGACCAGCATGGCCAATGGGTGCTCTTCTGTTACCAGTGAGCCACATGCTTTAACCTGATCCAAGAACAGAAACCAACAAAAATAATCAGTGCAGTGTAGATCGATAGCGAACGGAAAAGAAAGCAGAAGAAATGGGAAAGAACCAACTCTGTGAATTGAAGAGATCTACCTCGACGAGAGTGCAATTCTTTCTTCCGATTTTGGTACTCATATGCACAGATTCTGCATGGAATGGACTGCATTCACCCACAAAAATAAGAGTCTTACACTTCAATTTCTTCAAGTCTTCCATAAGATCATGTCTCCTGCATATATACTTCACTCAATGATAATGGAAACGCACTTAAATACACAAAAGAAAGATGAGCAGCATATATGGGTACACACATATCCAGGCCTTCGTTTCTCATGAAAGATTAGTCCACAAAAAAAAACTAGAAAAAGAATATCACCGAGACGAGGAAGTTTGAGAAAGAGAAATAAATGACATGAACTTACCTATTAATTGCTTGAAGAAAGCGCATAACATTTGGACTTTGCCTTTCATCCAATAACTGCGATCAAATTACCAGAAGGATCACCGTTAAATTTCAAATCATATCATTAAAACTAAAAATATAGAGGAGCATTAGATGTGGCTTCTTGTTTTGTTATATAAATTGGTATCCTCTACCCGGATGCCTATTCAAAGTGACTTCTCATCATATGCTAAAGAGAATACAGAATGACTATTTCTTATCAGTTTCCTTACTTTGAGGCAAGCTTGGACAATCTCGGACTCTGCACCATGCATACCATACCTGAGTTCCTACAAGAAGAATTCCACAGTTACAACACTAAACAAATATCAGAACATTAAAAACAAAACAGTGACGTTGATTACCTTACTGAAATACCGCTGAAGAAGGCATTCTTTTAATACACCACACATACCGTAGAAGTATAACAAGTTCATCAACACCTGAAAATAGATATTTTAGTGCAAAGCAGGTTTAATATAACTGTTAGAGATATGACCAAAAGAGATATTTTGTAAGTGTGAGCAAATTAGAACCTTGTTGTAGAGCCATTCAGCCCATGTAGGAGCTTTGCAAACAGGAGACACGAGAATTAATCCAAGCACCCGCTCATTATATTTCATCTGGCACAAGGGATAAAAATAATGAGACCATCACAGTGTCAGAATAACAGCACGAAAATTATTTACCGAGTTTTGTATCTTATGCCAACTTACTGCAAATAGTGTAAGGATGTAAGCCCCTGCTGTTACACCCAAGCATAGAACTCTCTTCAGTCTGATATTAAAAGCTCAAATTAGTTATAACAGCGAAAATTAATGCAAGAAAAAAGAAAGAAAAAGAAGGAAAAAATATCACCCCCCAACAACCTACATAAAAAACGATTCACAAGGTCTTGTGCATATCAAATATATTCTATTGTTCTTGTCAGATCCATATGTTTTACTTATTTTTCATGGAGAAAAATACATTTGAATTAATAAATAATTGAGACTTTGGAACACTGTGATACCAATTGAGATTAACAATGGATAGAACACATACACATCATGAGAACAATGGTTGCTGTGAAGTTTTATAAAAAAAATATACCGGACATCTAACAGATAGCATATCTAAAATGAGGGAGAAGTTTAGAATATAAATTGTACATTTTCTACACCTAAATTACTCGGACTCAGGCAAGAACCAGTATCCTAAATCATTTTTGGATGAAATAGAAAAGGAAATTTACATTGAACTACACTAAAAGATAAAAAAAGGTAGAAATTAGCTTGATCATTTCCCGTTTAGTCATTGTGCTTACGAGTAGAAAAGAATTAGAATTTGACAACCATTTATTTACATTATTACATACCCAAAGAAATCAAGAACTTCAGCGACCTGATCTGCTAAGTCATCCACACTAAGCAATGGAACATCTGAAGATATCACATTCGCTCCCAACTGAAAAAACTCTTAAACAAATGGCATACAGATTCTATTAGTATCACCTAATTAGGAAAAGCACCAGCTGACAAGCTACAATTTAACAATTTGTATTTTTAACCAAAACCCCATTGTTTAAACAAACACAGCTCTAAAACTGAGTCACTGACCTCGTGCCCTGGGGCATCAATGTGGTAAATGCAAAAGTTTTGAAGCAACAAAGAATCGGCATCGGGGCAAACGAATAGGCCTTGGAAACAAGATATGTCTGTAAACATTTCAACAAGCACAAAAACAAACATATATCAAAAGACGATAAAAATTCAACATTTTGGAACCAAAATCCAAAATCCAGCAAAACCCGAAAGGCAAAAATAGTTCAAGAACTAGAACAAGAATTCACTGAAGTATAAAAACCTATATAACCCACTTAAAGAACTTATGAAATGAACAAATTGGATAATAGAAATCTGTACAAGCAGCAAAACTTGATTCAATTTCAACACACATGAAGTAAAAGCAGCAAACCCATTAAATCAAACAAAACGGAAATCGAGAAAGTCCCAATATTTCCAATAAAAAAGAAACAAGAAATGAATACATACAGTTGAGAGCAACATCCGGGTAAGTTATCAAAGCGGGTTTCTCTGGATCACCGCAAACAAAAACAGATAAAGAACCTCTGCTTGTTTTCACCAAAAACTCCTGCAAAAAAATATTATATAATTATAACAGTATTTTGAAAAATAAAATACAAAGATAGGTTGAAAAGGGGGAAGAAAAAGGATTGAAGCTTTGTTCTTAGCAGTTTTGTTAGTTTAGTTACTTTACCTTCCCTCCAAAAGGAACCATATCAATCGCAATGGAAACTGAGTCACTTGAATGGCCCATGACTCGTTTTGTTTCCTTCACTCGATTTCGAGAAACACAATGAAACTCACTGATTGAACTCACTTAGATGATTAGCCCCCAAAAACTGAAACTCATTGACATGGAAGTCTCAAGCTTTCTTCAAATGACAATTCTAGCGTTAAAAAATTAACAAAAAAATTGTTTTATGGATATTAGTGAAATGTCGTAGAAGCCCTCAACTTGATGCCGGAATTACACGGTAAGCGTTGTCAAGAAGGGGGATCGAACGACTGTTTTGCCATGGATCAACCCGTTGACTCTTTGTCTTTTTCTTTTGTTTTTATACTGGGGCAAGTGACCGTTAAGGCCGCACTGCAACGGTCAGCTGAGGGTAGTTTTGGGAAAGGAAGGAAAGAGAGGGCAAATGGGAAAGGCATCGCTTGAAGGGCTTTAGAGTAATTACGTAGTTGGCATCATACAGCTGGATGCCACCTGGAAGCCGCTAAAAGGAGTACTCCAAATGAAAGCTATCCATTATGCGCCAGCTCATCATTGGCTATGGTTTTTTTATCAATTCTTTTTTGTATTTAATTAACATTCTCATATTATTTAAAATTTAAGAAATTTAGGTTTTTATGAATTAAAATTTAGTATTACCAAAATAAATCATTGTTATGCCTTCACATAATTTAACCATTAAAATAAAATTAGTACATATTTCTTAACTTTTACTTTTAAAAATAAAAATGAATTTTTTTTATTCCTCCCCCGATTTCAATGCTTTGTCTTAACTAATTTGAACCGAGCCGCATTACACACTTGATTTTGGTGGGTAAGTCTACTAATAATTATTTTTTTACATACACAATAACTCGAACTCCATACATTACTTACGCGATATCAAACTGCTTACCACTTGAATCAATCTCTGTTGATATAAATTTTCTTTTTATAGTTGAAATTTATATTTTTTATAGAATATTTATATTTAAAAAATTTAATTATATAATTTCATTTTTATCATTTGATTTAATTAGCATTAATAAAACAAAAATAATTTCAATCAGATAAGTCTTATAATTTAATACTATTAGTAAATTTTATCGCTATAGTAATTACTAAGAAAAAAGTGATTAGTAATGAGAAAGGTTAAAAGAGAGAGTAAAGTAGGGAGATGATTTTGTTTAGGGTATTTATGTTCCTTTGGATCTAAGGGTCTGTTTGTTTAGCTGTAATTGGTTTTCCATAAAATGAATTACTAGAATTTGAATTACTGGAATTTGAATTACTGGAAAATGAATTACTGGAATTTGAATTCTGGAAAATGAATTACATTTCTGTAAAATGAATTACATTTCTGGAAAATGAATTACATTTCTAGAAAACATCTGGAAAACGTTTTATGATGTTTGGAAGATGTTATTTAAACATTTTTTCGGTATATTTTAGTGAAATAAAATTTTATAAATTATATTAATTATTTATTAAAGTAATAGTACTATATTATTTTTTAAAAATATTAATTAGTATATTTTAATATCTTTACTAAAATATTATTGAAATATATAAATAATATTATTCATTATTAAATATATAAAAAAATTTATTATATATTATTAAAATAAAAATAATATCTTATATTATTATAATATAATTGATTATTTTATAATATTAAAAATATAATATTATATTATTATAAATATTAATAAATATATTTTAAATATTTTAATAATTAATATTTTGATGAAAATGATATTAAAATATTTTATTAATATTAAATTCATAAAATAAAATTATTTTGAGTATTTTTGCTTTGAAGTGAAAAGTTCGGAAAATGACTTACGGAAAATGAATCCGTGAGTCATTTTACAGAAAACACAAAGGAAATTCTGTTACTAGGAAAATGAATTACATTCCGGAAAACGAATTACGTGAAATAAACACGGGAAAACGTTTTTCGGAAAACGAATTACATGAAACAAACACGGGAAAATATTTTCCGAAAAACGAATTACGTGAAACAAACACGGGAATTCGAGGAAAACCAATTCCGTAATTCCAATTACGGGAAACAAACAGACCCTAAAACCCGTTTTGAAACGCTAATCACGGACGCCATTTCACAGAATTTTTTAATTTTTATTTTAAAAACATCGTGACCCATCATATAATTAAACTGAATTCAATAATTCGGATAATCATGTATTATATATATATATATATGAATGATTTATTCATAAAAATATTTGCGTAAACTATGTCAATAGTCTCCTTTATTTTTGATTTAATCGAATTTGGTCACCAATTTAAAAATTAAGGGTACATGGTCTTTAATATTATCAATCCGTTTGACTTTAGTCTTTAATATTATCGATCCATTCAATTTTAATCCCTCAATCGTTGATTCCCATTCGATTTAGTCCTAAACTATGTCACGTATTCGTTAAGGGTTAACGGCGAAGGGACTTAAACCAGACAGACTGTTAATGTTAAAAATCATTTACTCTTAATTTTTAAATTAGTGACCATTGGACAGACTATAAACAAAAGGAACTATTCACATAGTTTATCAAAAAAAAATCTTAGTTTTTTTCTTTTTTCTTACGTCATTATTATTTTTTTCATTTTTTATGATATGTGACATTAGATTTAATGCTACAGCTGGTATTAATTATTTTTTAATTTTATTATATTATACTTTTATTTTTTTAATTTTTAATAATTCTACTTTTATAATATATATTTTTTATATTAGTAGCACATTTTCATATATTTTTTGACATTTATGACATATTTTTCTTTATTTTTTAACATGTTTTTTCAATTGTTTAGTCATTTATTTTCGTTTATTATTTTTCTCAATGTTTTTTAAAGTATCATTTTTCTCAATGTTAAATTTAATATTGCCACAACTTATCAAGATGGCGCTTATTTATTATCATGTTGATCTTCTATACTTTGGACCCTCAAATTGGATTTGGATATGTAATTTGCGTTTATGGATAATTTTCTCGCATTGATTAATTATGATTTACGGTTTGTCAGTAATATTTCAATAACTTGATTATCTTTTGTGGTTTGTTTATCGATGTGGTCAGATATGTTCGTATCTATCTTCTGTTCGAGTTTATTTAATTAAATTTTTTAATTTTTTTCCGTAAATTCTTGTGTGATCATAAGTAACTAATTATTTTTGTTAATGAATATAAGAAATTATCATTATGTTTTAGTTTATAATTATAGTTATAATCTTTCATTGTAATTTGGTATTCTTTATCCTTTTAATAAAATTTGTTATTTTATTAAACAAAAATAATTTTATCAGATGTCAAATTTCAAAATTTTAGGCATAATATCGTATTAATCATATATTTATTATAAATATTAAACGTGTTTTCCCAAATCATTTTTAAATTAAAAAATTACAATTGTATTTTTAGAAACAAAAAACAAAAAAAAATTGTGTACACTGCCGTATGTGATGTGACCTCTGCAAAGATTTTTTTTTTTAATGAATTTAAATTAGAAAGATGATAGGCTAGAATTTATTTTAAAAGAAGGCCAAAATAATTAAAGTAGAAGAATCCAAACACAAATTTTGAATTAAAAAGATTTGTCGGAAACGTAAAGGACGAAATTGCAATTTGGGAAAATGCCAAGGGCAGAGAGGGAATATTATATAGAATGGCAGTTCTTTTTTTTTTCCAACACCGGATTCTCTCTCTTTGTCTATGCTGTTTTGATTTTGATCTTTAACTCATTAATCGGAGGGATTTAATCTTAATTAAAATTAGAGTAAAGTACACAAATAGTCCCTCAACTATAGGATACTATTTTAATAAGTCTTTCGATTATTAAAAGTTACAAAATGATCACTCTACTATTTATTATGTTACAAACTCGTTCTTTTTTGTTAAAAAATTAACGGAAGTTTGAGCTGGACGTTAACCTATTGACTGGATATAATAAAATATGATCTCATAATCTCGAACGACTATCATATCTCATATAACATGTTTACGTCCAACTCAGACGATCGCTAATTTTTTTAAAAAAAGGATGAGTTCGAAACATAATTAATAGTCGGATGACCATTTCGTAACTTTTCATAGTCGAAGGACTCAACAAAATAACATCATATAGTCGAGGGACCATTTTATAATTTTTAATAATGAGAGGACTCAAAAAATAACATCATATAATTGAAGGACCATTTGTGTGCTTTACTCTTAAGTTAAAATGCCTAAAAAAAAATTATATGTAAGATTATGATATAATCTTGAGGATTAAAATAATGTGTATGAAGATTATTTATGGCCATGGGAACAATCAAGTTGTGGCTATTATAAATATTTTATCTCTTTTGATTTAGATAGAGAATTACAGTCTGTGATTTAACACGATTGATTTATATTTAGTTTCTTTGTTTCTTTAAGGAGGGAGAGAGAAAGAAGTAGAGACGATGGTTCTAGATCTTTCTCTTAGTCTTGATCGAGACGTTTTATAATAATCTTTGCCTAACATAAAATCGTGATTATTACTTTAGATTGACAAACTCAGTAAATACAATTACCTTATAGTAAATTTTGCTATGGGAGATCACGTGAAAATGTTAGAGTTCGATTCAAAAATTACTTCCAAGCATACAAAATTACTTCCTATCGCGTGAATTATAAGGCACAGATCGTTCACACCGAGTGTGTCGCATTCGATTATCAGATCATGGATTCGACCGTCGTCGCAAAACTACGCCTTGGTAGCAAACACACTCTTGCCGAAAGCATGCTCTTTCTAGGCCACCAAAATGGCACTAGAAGGAACATGATTTGCACCGGTTTTCTTACGTGCTTCTTTCCTCATGTCCCCAATAAGCAACACCGTTTCCTTGTTGGCAACGACGACGACGTAGAACCCTTCGACCGGTTCGGAACCGGATCCGTTGAGCCGAAGAAAGGTCCGGATATACATCGATTTTACAAGAGTATGCTTGTAAACTCTTGGACCCTTTTCTCTTGGACAACAACCAAGGCTTTACATCAACCTTACAAAGAAATTGATTTGCAGAATCATCAATCCCTACACTCAACCTTTGCCCCCATCAAGCCCTTGGTCCAAGTCACAGTTATTAAACAAGGCCGACCTCGAATTCGACATGGATGA